AAAAAGAAAGAAACCTTGGATGAATGGAGTAGATATGTGATTAGAGGAAGTTGCATATCGTAATAGCAGCACCTTCTGCAGAGCTGTTGGAGTTAGCCCAAAAATATGTAAAGAGATTATTGTTATAAAAGGATAAGTTTGGTTTGTTTACAATTTTAGTCTTAGTAATACAAGCAATACTGATATTATAATCTAGACAGTAGTTCTACCAGGTTTCTCTTTTAGTAATTATATTAAAGCCACGAACATTATGTGTTGCAATGTTAAAATGTAAGTCTCTGTTATAACTTAAATTTTGATTAGAAAAGTCGTAAAGTGAGATATAATTTATAGGTATAGGAGGTGAGCTAGATGAATTTAAAGGAGTATTAATTGATTCTTGTACAAATAATAGCAGTTTTGTAAATATAGATGTATATTCTTCTGATAGATTATTAGATTCAATATCATAATGAAATGTTGAAAGTAATGTAGATATGAGGGGTCTGTAGATATATTAGGATTATCTAGAAATATATTGTTATTAAGTATATTGTTGATAATTTTAGTATAGATTTTTCGAATATGTTCTACAAGACTAATTGGTCATATAAGATTGGGATTGCCATCAAAAGTATTGCATTTTGAAATAGGATAAATTCTACTATTTTTCTATTGTTTTAGAATTTGGCTTTGAGCAAAACAGAGGTTGAATAAAACAGTAAGAGCTTGCAGGCAAGTATAGCCAGAATATTTAATCATTTCATAGCTAATACCAGTAGGTTTACAGGCTTTGCAGTTTTGAAATAGTTGTGATTATTTCTTCTATTATAATTGGTAGAGTAAGAGAGTCATACCAACTGAAATAATATAGGCTTGTGATAAGTATACTTGTTGTCAAAAGCTATCAAAAAGTGTTTAGATAATGGGTTTGTAAGTAGTTTAGTTATAGAAGTGATTTTGGATATATTGTTTAATAAGAATATGCTCAATAATCAGTTAATTAGTTAGTTTGATATTTGAAAAGTATATAGATGCTTGGTATCAGTTAAAAATGCTATTGATAGCTTGTATGAGTTTGTTAACAAGAGTTTCACATCTTTTTTTTGAAGCTTGTTAGATTTGTTGGTGAAATAGGAGGGAGTTTTTAGTATAATGTGCCTGATATAGTTGATGTCATATATCTTGAGCATATTTAATCCATACTAGAATTGAGTCTGGATTTGAGAGTGTTTGAAGGTTATATTGGGACTTTTAATTAATATTTTAGATTTAATAGAAGAAATATTTAATAGTGCAGTAGTATTTTTAAGAATTTTAATTAGGTGGCCTAGTTTTTTAAGAGACAGGTATAGTTGTATATTGTAAGAAGTATATTTATAGTTATAGCTATGTTTACAGCTAGTTTTGTTTAGAATAATTTTGGTAGCAGAGTT